TTGAGATGCTGTGGCATGACCTTAAACAGTCCATTCATGCTCAAAAACCCTCCAATGTGGCTTAATTAAAACAATTCTGCAAAGAAGAGTGGGCCAAAATTACTCCACAGCGATATGAAAGACTCATTACCAGTTATCGCAAACGCTTGATTGCAGTTGTTGCTGCAAAGCGTGGCACAACCAGTTATTAGATTTAGGGGGCAATTACTTTTTCATGTAGTGCCAGGCAGGTTTGGACAGCTTTTTTTCCCTTAATAAATTTATTTTTATTTATTTAGTCATTAATTAGAGGCTTTTATCCAAAGCGACTTACAAATGACGACAACAGAAGCAATCAATTGTAGTATTAAAACAACTAAAAACAGATCCAAAACTAAAAGCTAAAACTTTATAAATACTACCTATACACATTTTAAAAATAAAGAGATTAAATAAAAATGACAAATGCATACAACAAAATTTCTAAACTTAACATATAAATGAAAAACAAAAAATAAAGCTAAAAACAATTCAAAATATTAAAGAACAAAAGGTATAAGATTACTTTGTAACATAGTGCCAGGCAGGTTTGGACAGCTTTTTTCCCTTAATAAATGAAATAATTTCAAAACTGCATTTTGTATTTACTCGGGTTATCTTTGAGTAATATTCAAATTTGTTTGTTGATCTGAATCATTCAAGTGTGACAAATATGCAAAAAACAAAACAAAAAACAGGAAGGGGGCAAAAACTTTTTCACAGCACTGTATATATATCCACATATAATATATATACGCACACATAAATGTATGTAGACATGTGTGAAAGACCACACTAGGGCAGAAGGGTGGAGGTTGCCGGATTTAATGATGGACAGTTTTCACACAGTGGGAAAAGCTGCACATCACCTGAGGAAAAAGTCCAGCTGCAAATGTTTTGCTTTCCTATTACTGGGCTGGAACAACCCTTCCAGTCCACACGACTGCTGGACCGACAGCTCCATCAAAGAGAAGAGAGAAAATCCTAAAGTTTATGTGCAGTACAACTCAACACAACTACTATAGACCACAAAAATGACACAATCGCACACATACAGAGCAAGTGAGCGCATGCTGACACAGGCATAGTGGCACTAAACAGCAAATTAGATGACACACAGCATGCAAGATCAAAGCCGAGAAGAAAGAAGCAAACAAGTCTGCCTAAGCTCATTAAAAAAGCCTCTTTGTTAGCGTCAAATTAAGAACTTTTTGCCTTTGCAGAGGGATAAAGGGAAGAAAATAGAGAAGGAGAAAGAGGGACGAGGGAAAAGAGTAAAGGAGGATCGCTAGCTGCTAATCACATTATTAAAATGACTCTGAGTCCTGAATTTGACACAGCGCTCGCTTTGTGACGAAGGGAGAAAATTAGCGGGATAAAAGGAGAGCTAACGGCTCATGTGGTGTGACTGATCCTTCAAGTTAAAGTGATCGGGGATTAAACGGAGACACACTGGAGATGACTGGCTAAGTTAGAGAGTGATGGAGGGATAAGAAGAAAGAGTCAGGAATCAGAGACAGACAAAAGAAGAAGAGAGCACGATTTGGAAAAAGGACACACTTTCAGAGGAAACTTTTATTAGGGTTTTATAGCTCAGGAGACTGAATCGAGTTCTCCGCTATGTTTCAGTTAAAGTAGAATTGAAAACTGACAACATAAGTATGGAGAGAGTATATGAAAATACATTTCTTGGTGTGACTATAGACCGCAAAATCTGCTGGGAACCGCAAATAAAACACGTCAAAGCAACATTGCAAATCTATAGCAATACTGAATAAATCAAGACATATTTTGAACATTAAGTGTTGGAATACACAACACTATTTATACACTTATACATTTATTCATCTAACACACATACTTAGTTTACATTTCGAATTTGCACATAATATACCTGTACATACAACATTGTCAATTTGTATATTGTTATTCCGACTTGTTCTATTTTTATTCTTGTATTATCTGTGTTTTTGTCCTGTCTCTGTCATTCTGTTGCACTGTGGAAGCTTCTGTCACGAAAACAAATTCCTCGTATGTGTAAACATATCTGGAAATAAAACTCATTCTGATTCTGTTTCTGATTAAATCAATGCATATTTTGCATAATACATTTAAACTACCGTTTGTGAGTTACTGTGTGGAAATCTGGGGAAACACCTACAATAATAACTTACAGACAAATGCATTATTCTTACAGTCACATACACTAAAGTTCATTGATTTGGTTAAATTTAAGACAGCACTAGTCATGTTCAAAGCAAGAAATAATCTACTACTGGAAAATTTACAAAATATTTTTATAGAAAGGCAGGGTGGGTATAACTTGAGAAAATAATTAAACTTTAAAAAGCTCAATACTAACTCTAACTCTAAGATGTATGTGTATCTTGATGAGGTTGTGAAACAGTTTGGAGCAAGTGTTAAAATATTGTACAAATATTAAACAGTTAAAAAAAATGTATTAAAAGGATACGTGGTTAAACAGAGGTGATTGTGAGTGTGGGTTATAATGCTGATTGCATTTGCATGTGTGATTATAGGGTGACGGGTTGTTTGTTGTAATATCTATATATATATATATAAAACAATACAACTACAATCTTGTAAGGCAGATATAATTATACATATTAACATATTATATGTACTGGAACTATTTAGAATTGTATAAGGGGTTGGAAAAGTTTTTTCTGCTCCTTTTCAATAATATAATTATTGTTTATAACTAGGGTTGCAAAAAGGTGGAAAATTTCCAGTAAATTTCGGAAACATTCCAGAAATGTTGGAAACTTTTCCAGGATTTTTTGGAATATTCCAGGGATTTTTGGAAAGTTTCCGGAAATTTACCGGAAGTTTTCCATCCCTTTGCAACCCTATTTATAACACTATAGATATTGTGTTTTCCTTTGTTATGTTGCAACACACAATTGTATCTGTATATCTTATTTTATATTATTTTTTGGTTTGAAATAAAAATACAGGAAAAAAGAAAAAGTGATAGTTTATAAAAAATGTTGCCATTATTTAGTCACGTTTATGTCATTCAAAACCTGACTGTGGGTATTTTTTCTGCGGAAGACTTTTTGAAGAAAACAAGTTTTGTTGTTGTTTTGTTTTTTTCTCCATACAACAGACTATGACTGTCAAGCTTTAAAAAGGCAGTACAAGCATCGGAAACATAGCACATAGTTTATGCACAATATTCAGTGTTTTCTGATGCAATATGACAGCTCTGGTTAATGAACAGACTAAAACGTAGGAAGATATTCACTTACTCTTCACCTACGCCGAAGCTCTAGAATCTCATTTGCAACGTTCAGATCCAAAAATGGTGTTTCACACAAGATTTATCATATGTGAAGAAATACTTGCAATGGAGAATGAGATGTTAGAGCTCCATAATGGCATTCAGCGAATAATAACCATTAAAATCTGCTCTGGTTGTCACACTATGCCATCATTTGGCATTTACAAGACTTGGAATAGGGCATGCGTCATATGGACTACTTTAATTATGTGCTTTGCATGTTTCAGAGCTTCACAGATGTGGTCACTATATGAATTGTTGTTGCATAGAAAAGTAACATGAAAAGATTCACCAAAACATGCAGTATTTGGGTTTGGAATAGCATTATGAGCGAATAATGACAGACATTTCATCAAGTTTTGGGTGAACGGCTCTTTAAAATATCAACTTATTCTCAGATGATTTTTTTGTTCTCTCTAAATGTACTTACAACAATAAAAGAAACAGAGAAACAGAAATGAGTGAGACACATACAGTTGTAAGATGAATATTGAGAAGCATATTCCATTTGATTTGAACTATTTGAAGTTATAATAAGAAATGTTCAAGGTATTGAAATCTCTGAAATTGCAAACTTTGTTATCTTGGCAAATCTGAGCACAGTTTATGAAAACAACTTGCTCACTGGGGGGTTGCAAGGCATTATTTTCTTCATCTTTTATCTTCTTCATTTTTCTATCTTCTGTAAAGCTGCTTTGGAACAACATTTATTATAAAAACCACTATACAAATAAAATTGAACTGAAACTAAAATGCATAAATGCAACAAACTAACCACAATGAAACAAAAAATACAGGCATTATGTTGTTCCGAATATCATGTTTGTAACATTGTGCTGTACAAGCACAACTCCATGCATCTAGACACAATCCTGTCAATCTCTATCTTGGTTATTATCGAGTGTACTTGAAAAGGTCAATGGCGAATGGGTTCAAAGTTAAAACAATTTGACCTCTGAGTTACAAAACTAACCCTATGTACAAAGTGGCACCTTGGGTCAAAAGCATTATCCTTTGAATTGAAAAGACTTTTTCCAATTATTTTTTCAAAAATAAAATAAAATCCCAAAAATTTAATTTTCATAAGAATTGGACTAATTTTGAATAAGGAGTAGCGAAAAACAATACTGTGCTGTTCAAAAAGGCCGCTACTGTAACGGGTGGAGTCTTAGGCCCAATCCCAATTCTACCCCTTAGCCCTTCCCCTTAATTCAAGTATTTATACATTAAAACATACAATAGTGAAATAAAACAAAAAATTATAATACCATTTGTATGAATAAATCAGTATTCCTATACGTTACATAATGAAATTAATTATTCAATATGTTTAGCACCGTATTATGTGTAGGCTGCACCACATGCGTCAAGCACTGCATAAATCATTAAATCGGATTTTCTCCCGTAACACTCTGGTATAAATTATCTCAGTGTAAACCGGCTTCAGCGGCAACATGGCTGCCCGAGCGAACAAAAAGACATAAATGTAAGCATTTTTGGGCATTAATAAATATTTTAACGAAAAGTAATAATTTGTTTTATGTTACTTGTTACTCAAAGAAATGTTTGCAAAAAATTGCTAAAGTTTGCTAACGTCATATCATTATAGACTGAACGATAGTGCCACAACATATTTTAATGTCTGATCAGGGCGATAATAACCACCTTAGACATTGAGGAGGGCTAGTGTAGCATGTTTGGACCGGTCACCCTCACACACATAAAGACCACACAACCACTCGTTGATGAGATTCAGCACTTTCTTTTACTCGATCTGTAACAAGGAGAAATAATCAGTGGATCAACAGGCGACAGCTTCTCCCTCTCTGGCACACTAAACATATGATGCTAATTAGTTAGCGTCACAATGTACACCGTTTAAGTTAAATAACACCATAAAATATACATTTACATTATAACTAGCACAATCGAATGCTAGTATAAAGTAATCACATTCATCCAGTGATAAATATGCATTTTAGACAAAAAACATCACCATACCAGGGTCATTCACGGGGAGAACAGAGTAGTACATGTGCTCATTAGCCTCGCACACAGGTAGACTGAGGCTATCACATGTCGCACGCGGGGAAACCCCGGATGTGTTCCACTGATATCATTCCCTCCCCGGACAAAATCCCAAAGAAAAGTTACGTGACTTTAACGTTATATTTTTTTACTTGCGAACAATAGTAGAGGGACAAAATTTCGTGGAGTTCATTAACCCATTCTTATTATGAAACACATAGAATTTATAATGGTATAAACAGCATATAAAAAAATAATAATACAATATAGGAAAGAAAAGAAAGCAAATTAAATTAAGTCAATAAATTCACACCAGTTACATTCTCCCCCTTGAACTTCACAAATTTTGACTATTACAGGGATAGTATACACTGGGGTCATTAGACCAACTTTTATCCAAAACATTGTGCAACAAAATATGTTTCCCACTCACAGGGAAGGCGAATACGGCAGGTTGATCAGGCCTACTGCAGTCACCCGCAAAAGGTGCCTTAAACACCATTGATCTCGGATGAAACTTCATCTCTAATCTGGAACAACATACTGAAATACATTGACTCACATGTGCTGTAATCTAGAACTCAAAATGACAAAAAAAAGTTGTAATACAATACATTCTTATCTAGTAAAGATCTTACAACTCCACCAACTGGGTTCAGAAATTTGATAGATTGAGTCATGTTCTCTATCAATCTGTTGACTGGTTTCACAATCCTACCCACTCTGGTCCGAACTCTCATTTCCCCTGGATCAGGAGGCGGCTCAACAGCTTCAACAGGTGAAACACAATGGTCACTATGGCAAACTGCCTCAGAAACAGAACTGTGAGAATCAGAACTCTGTCCTTCATCTGGACTGCTTACATTGCTTTTCTCCTTGGTACAATCATTATTTGAAGCAAGTTGCTCCTGTCCTGATGACTCGGGGACTACGTTCAATGATTCAACACTTTCGGATCTGCAGGACAATCTCTGCTGAGGGTCGTCAGAAGCTGTGGTCTTTTCCAACCAACTGGCGACTCGCTCAGACAAAGAACACAAATCAGATACAGGACCAACAACATCCATTGACACACTTCTACTACTAAGGACAGATTCACCACTATCCTCAGATGATTCAGGTTCCTCCAACTCAAGTGGAAGGAAATTTGCTTGCAACAGCAAAATGCGGTGAACGGTTTTATCCTGACCTGTTTTGGTGTTACGTATGCGGTAAATGTGGCACTGTGGGTTCAGCGCAACTACCCTATAGGGCGTGGACTCCCACCTGTCTGCCAGTTTCCTCTTCCCACATTCACCTTTGTTGGTCAGCAGAACTTGATCACCCAACTCAATGTTATGACCTTTCGTCTTTTGGTTGTACAACTCGGTCTGACATTGCTGACTGGCATCAATGTTCTTCTGAGCAACCGTAAGTGCCTCTTTTAGGTCATCTTTTAACCTCTTTACATACTTGTTGTAATCAACAACGTCACAGTCTCTCTCAACGTTGCCAAACATCACATCCACGGGCAACTTCGGGATCCTACCAAACATTAAGTAGAATGGAGCATAACCCGTGGATTCGTGCGCGGTACAGTTATACGCAAAGGTCAGTGTCTGAAGCAACTGGGACCACTTTTCCTTAGACCTCGGCGGGAGTGCTCTGATCATGCTGCCCAAGGTTCTATTAAACCTTTCAACAAGGCCATTTCCCATTGGATGGTAAGCAGTTGTTCGGGACTTTTTCACACCGGCAACCTGCAGCAACTCTCGGATCAGTTGGCTCTCAAAGTTAGCCCCCTGATCTGAGTGGATCCTGTCAGGAAAACCGTACACACAAAAATAGTGATCCCACAACTGTCGTGCTACCTGTTTTGCCGACTGGTCACGACACGGGAAAGCATGAGCCATCCGAGAAAAATGGTCAGTTACAACCAGCACGTCCACATTACGACCTTTTGAACTTTCTGCAGTCCAAAAATCGATGCATACTAGCTCCATTGGACTTGACGTTTTCACACTCTCTAGTGGGGCTCTGCCTTGGGGTTCAGGCGTTTTACTGACAACGCAGCGCTTGCAACACTTAACATATTTGCGAACGCCACATTCCAACCCGACCCAAAAGAACCTTTGTCTTGCCAGGTGCATTGTTCTACCTTGGCCCTGGTGCCCTGTTCGTCGTGAACGCCTGTCATGACCTGCGTGATTAAAGAAGAGGGAACAACATACTGCAACCGTTTCTTTCCCTTCAGATTATCTTTGGTTACACGATACAGTAAACCATCGAGTATCTTTAACTTGTCCCACTGCTTCAAGATCCTCCCTGCTTCCCAGTCATTATGACCCTCTAACACCGCAGACACCTCGGCACTAGAAATCGGACAATGCATTACACAAGGAGGGCATTCGACGCTCTGAACACCAGCACTAAGCCTGAATGCGTCCTGCACTGTCTCCTTCTCAAACTGTTCCGCTTCCTCAAGCAACGCATTGTAAGGCTCATTCAGCAGCCTCTGACTGACCCGGTTATGGACAAAGGGTTGACGACTTAAAGCATCGGCTACTACGTTCTTACTGCCAGGTATATACTTGATGCTGAAACGATAGGGCGCCAACTTGGAGACCCATCTCTGCTCACACGCGTCGAGTTTAGGCTTTGTAAGGATGTAAGTTAAGGGATTGTTGTCTGTCCAAACAACAAATTCGTGGCCTTTCAGCCAGTGGCTGAATTTCTCGCAAACGGACCACTTCAAAGCCAAGAACTCCAAGCGGTGAGCAGGATACTTGGCCTGAGCGCACGTAAGGGCTTTGCTAGCAAAAGCAATTGGCCGGTGGAGTTCATTAACCCATTCTTATTATGAAACACATAGAATTTATAATGGTATAAACAGCATATAAAAAAATAATAATACAATATAGGAAAGAAAAGAAAGCAAATTAAATTAAGTCAATAAATTCACACCAGTTACACTAGTACCCCCAATAATTATACATCGCTAAACCCTTTTCTCAAATATTGCCAATTCGAGAGAGAGAGAGACAGAGAGAGAGAGAAAGTTGCGTACATGTGCATCTGTGCGTTTATCTTTTTAGAGTGAGTTTACTTCAAAAACAGCGATTAAGGGACGCGTCAGTGGACAAAATAAATGGGCGGCTAAAATCAGGATGTGTCAGTACCACGGAACTCATCAGAGCAGCTTTTAACTGCTGGAAGGCCCTACTGTGCTCTTCCTTCCAGTCATCAGGACTCAACTTCCTAAACAAAGCACCCTTCTCCGGAGGCTTCTTGCCTCTCGGTGGGAATATTTTCACCCCTACCCCTTGACACTCTGTTTCAAGGGACAAGGGACAAGGGGAAGGGGTAAAAAATAGAATTGGGATTGGGCCTTAGAGCCATTTTTACTAACAGCTTGCGCCAGCGCAAACTGTCTTTTGGCGTTAAAACTGTACTGTCAGGTTTTACTAAAGACGCGCAGTGACGAATTAGCGCTGAAAAGGCGTGGACACAGTTGTTTTTGCGCCTGACCTTATTGAATATGAATTTTTAGGAGTTTCCCTTTCAGAAGCAAAAGTTATAATATGTGATATTATGCAATATGGACAGATTTAAGTGCTGTGATACATAACACATCTTAAAATGAAATAAAACCACTTCTCAAAAAGAAATAAGCACATGGTCTTCTTTCCAAGGAAAGACCAATGGTTATATTTGCATTCTTTAGAGCAACATGCATACAATTCTTCATTCTTTCAAGCAGACATTTATTTATATAAATTAAATGTACATTAATCCTAGTAAAGTGATTTAGTCAAGAGCAGTGAGTGATTTTTTCTTTGTCTTTTGTTCTTTGATAAACATTAATGACACAGAAAAAAGCAATTTAATTAGGGTACGTTACTGTTTTTCCTGTATTTTTGATCAAACAAATGCAGCCTTGGTAAGCATGGAAGACATAAGATATGAAAACAACACTCTTTCATACTTTCATATTAAAGTATTTACTATATATATCATCTCACTCACCCTAACTTCTTCCTTTCTCTGTCTAGTCTTCTCCATCATGGGTATAAACGAGATGATTGAGGAAAGATCTCTCAAAAGAGAGGACAGAGAAACAATGGGAAAAGCACAGTCAGGAATCCCCAGGTGACTCACAACCTGCCCAAGAGAAGAAAACCAAAGAGAGGCACAAAGAAGCGAGGGATTTGACAATGATGCACATAAGTGTGTGTGTGTGTGTGTCAGATGATAGACAGCTAAGTGAAACTGAAGATCGTTGACAGCATTATGAACCAATTATATTACAGTTACATTTGCCAGCACTACATACAGTAGAAGCCCCATCTGGCTTACACAGGCCCATATATTCACAAAATCAGAAAAAAAAAAAAAAAATTTAGAAGCTTCTAAATATACAAACATTTGCTATCACAAAGGCTATGGGAGAAACAAACAATCACAAGTTCATAAAAGGGTGGCTTACAAAAACAACCATAATTCATAATTCATATAACTTATACTATATATTAGCATTAGCAACAACATAAACTCCTCTAAATAAGAAGATAATATTCCAGTTCATTTCCGCTCATGTGATTTCAAACTAAAATAACGTCCCAAATGCGACAAAAATAGGTCTACAAGGTGGTGTTGATTCCAAATTCAGATTGCGCGCCATATTTTCAAACGCAGTATCGAACACATCGCGAGCCGTAACATCTGATTCGCGAATAAATATTGCAGTTCGATGACGACACTAGAGGTTTATTCGAGATGCATCGGCGCTGCGCAGACCGATCGGCATATTATACCAAAGTACCGTGAGAGCGATTGGAGAGCAGACGACTCTATACTTTTGAATTACTCTCGCGGTACTTTGATGTCATGCGCCGATTGGTCTGCGCAGCACTGATGCATCTCAAACAAGCCTTACACACAAAAATAAATACAAAATACTATTACTAAAAACACACAATAAAAATATAAAACTTCAACTACATTTAAAATGGAAATGGACAAATAAACCATGATTAAAAAAATCAGTAAAAACTGTAGTATCTCAATCATAATAACAATGACACAAATACAACCAGGATCATTAATAAAACTATTTAACTTAATGCAACTATAAAAAAACATCATGTAGTTTATATCACTTAAATCATTATAGTTCTAATCTATACACAGCTAAGCACAGCTATTTTTATCAATCTTTTCTTTTGCTCTGTCGACTTAAAAAGACAAAAAACAGTATTTGTCTACTAAATGTTTCATTTCAGTACACCACTGACCTATGCCATCCCAATCATATCAGACAAGACATCCGGAAGGGTTGGGACTTCGACCCCATTAAATAAAAGGAAAGAGATAATTACTGCAACAAACAAATTTAAGGAGGAGTGCCGCTGTGTGCATCTCTATCAACTCACACACAGATAAACTTATTCCACCATTCTCACACACACACACACACACACACAAACAAACACACACACACACACATTTGGCCAGAGTCACTTCAGCACGCATATGTGTTTACAGCTTGTCAGAGTTGTTTATTATTCCTAATTTCAGATGTTCAGCCAAAGATTGCTAAATCACTGTAATTATAAAACACTATAGCTTGGTTTCCTGGGCTTTAATGAATATGACTGCATACTTCTTTCTTTCACTGTTAAATTTCAGTACATTTCACAGTATATTATACTTTTCTGGTAATCCTAATGTAGGACACTTCATGAATAAGCTCCTTGAAATAAATCTCTCATTGTTTGAATTGTCATGTCCACTCACAGTCATCCTATTGTATTTTGAATTAAATTGTAGGATTATGATTTAGGGCTTCAGGTATGGATTTTGAAATACACTGACCCCAAAATGCATTCTGTGCATTTGGACACACTTGAATTTCAAAGTATTATAGACATTTTCGAAACCAAGTGGCTTCTGCAAACAAGTTACGCTAGATTAAAAAAATGTTTGCTCAAAAAGTGTGCTCCTTTTCTTTTGTATAAATGACACTTTGTTCAGTATTTCGCTATCTAAAATGCAAAGTCAGTTCATGTTATTTGAGGCAACACAGACAAAACCATAGTTTTTTCAAGCACTGGTCAATTTTGAAATTTTAACTATTTTGCTTTCATAACATGCCTTCTTTCAGACTAGTGAGAAGAAAACCTCCAAAACTTACTTTATTACACGTTTTTTTTCTATTTGCATCAGTAGATTTAAATTACAACACATATCTTTAAAAACCGTTTTCTCAAAATGAGTTTTCTCTCATGCACTAAGCCAGAAATCTTCACTTCAGTAGCTCCAAACTTTCCATTTTTATTTCTATCTATATTCTGATGATTTCTGCAGAGGAGATTGTTTATATATCATTCACCCTGTTTAAATATATCAGTTTCCTTAAAACATGTAATACATAAATACATAAAAAAACTTTTTTTCTGGCTGTTGAGAGTATTTTTGATTTATGGATTGATAAAAAAACATATACAAAATCCCCTATGTAAAAAATATTAATGTCAGCAAAATGAAACAAGAACGTCTCGGTTACGTATGGTAACCCTCGTTCCCTGAAGGCGGGCGGGGTGGCTGCCCTGCGACCGGCTCTACGGCGCAGCTTTGCTGGAGGCCGCAGGAGCGGGGCGGTGGCAGGGGGGCCGCCCTCGGCGAAGGCAGCAGCTGCACGCCGGGGCAGGATGTACCTGATGGCCTCAGTCTGCTTTGGTCAGCGGAGAACTGCTGGGCAAGTTCTCCACCGTGTCGCCGAAAAGGCCGGCCTTGGACACGGGGCCGTTCAAGAACCGTGTCTTGTCCGTCTCGCGCATGTCAGCCATTTTAGTTTACACTCGAAGTAGATTGGTCTCTCTAAGTGAGATCCCAATTCGTCGGTCATCCGACGTGACGTCGAGAGTGACCGACTGAAAGGGAACTGTATGTACTGAATTAGATAAAGCCTAATTTGCATATTCAAACATAACATTTAAGCAAACTTGTGATACAAAACAATTGTCTTAATGCACTGTGATTAATCAACTATAGGGAATGATGCTATCTATTAATTATTATTATTATTATTATTATTATTTTACCCTATTCCTCTGTTGTGTCTTGCCTTACAGTAAGTATCCAAAAGTGTCTTTAAGGGGCTTATCTGACTTAACACAGGACGGTTCTTTACAATATTAGTCATAAGGGATGCTTCTTCAGGAAAGAGCAACTCATCTTGCTGTTCTCCTCTCACAGGGCTGGATATGAGAATATCTGCTAAAGTAGTTTATAATGAACTACAGAGTCGATGCTTTTAAAAAAAAGACTCATGAGACCGAGACAGAGTGAGAGGAACACAGCTAGAGATAATCATGCACAACAGATGTGATATGTGAACCCAAAGCTAATACAAACAAACACAAGGATATTTCTGAAAGCAAACAGACACAAAAGGAACATCAGCAGAACTGCAAGTGTTCAACACAGCCAAGGGAAGTCCTCACAATAACACGCCACACTATCAAAAATCACATGGCCCACAGAGAAAATCAGGGCGGATATTCCAGACTTTATAGGATTCCAATCAGATCCAGAGAATTTTGCAATTATTACTTGTTTCACCGCACTGAGCTCCCGAGATCAATGTAGACGGACTTTATTGATCTTTAGGTCTGATCACTGATGTCGATGTAATGACTGGCTGAGGAAATGCAGACTGACCAATAAAAATACACTGTTGACTAACCAGCCACGAGTAGTCTAATTGTTCCGTTGTCACTTAAAGTGAAAATGCTGTGCGTTTAGACACAATCACAGCCTTGTTTGATCTCAGTGAACATCATCTTTTGAATGGAAAATTGTGGGGAAGATGGTTATAACATGGGCTTCGTTGTAAGACTGTTAGTTTAACCAGTTTGAAATAGGTACAGAGATGAAATCTCTATGATCTATGATCATCATCCTCTGAGGTAGAGCTGAAGTTGTCTCTGCGTACAAATATCAATTATTTAAAGGACAAAACTTGATTTGGGATCAGCTTAATAAATATTATATGATAAAAATGGTATTATCAGCAGATACTCTTCATTAAATTTTAAATACTAAGCTGTTCAAACGTTTGAGGTTGGTAAGATTTTTAAAAATGTTTTTGAAAGAAGTCTCTTCTGCTCACCGAGGTTGTATGTATTTGCTGTAAAATACAGTGAAAACAGCAGTATTTTGAAATATTGTTACAATGTAAAATAACGGTTTTCTATTTCAATATATTTTTATTCCTGTGATGGCAAAGCTGAATTGGAAATTATTCTAATTATTCTAATTTGAAATTTGAAACTATTCTAATATTATGATTTGGTGATCAAGAAACATTTATGATTACTATCAATATTAAAAACAGCTGTGCTGCTTAATATTTCTGAATAAACTGTGATGCATTTTTACAGTATTTATTTGAGAAATAAATATTTCGTAGCATTCTAAAACTTTTGCAACATTATACAAAAGTCTTTTTTCACTTTTGATCCAATTTTATGCATCATTCAACCTTAAAAAAATAATCTGACATCAAACATTTAAACAGTAATGCATTTTACTTTAACCATTTATTCTCAAAACAAAACAAAAAAATATCAAAATTTACACTCTATTAAACAAATTACACTTAACCACTTGAATGTGAAAGTGACTAACATGCACACAAACACTCAGCATCTCTTTTTATTATCATTATCATCTAATTGTTCAATAGCTTACCCAACTTGTATGCTGTTTATTGACTATTTTTTATCTTTTTGCACTAAATTTCATAAAAACAAAAATGAGCTGCAGTTCTGGGTTTGTTGGAGGTTTATTTAAAAAGTAATTTCAAACATATACATTTTATTAACAAAATAAATGCATATACACAATTAAATAGAAGTTGTCTAATAGCGTTACAAACCATCTCTTTTTTTGTACTTGACACTATTCGACTCGGTTAAGACCAAGGCAAGGCAAGTTTATTTATAGCACATTTCATACACAATGGTAATTCAAAGTGCTTTACACAAAAGATAAGAAAA